TTATTTTTCATGCTGCATTATCTGAGTTCACTAGCTACAAATTAAGAGACAAGGGATAGGCAAGTGTATTCCAGGGAGCCTGGCAGAGAGCAGCAGGGGAAAGCACTAAAACTGACAGACAACAAGGGGATTCTTGTTGCACCTTTTGTCATTCCAAGTGCCATCAGTGTACGTTTCCACACGTTCCTCTTCCCCTTTCCCAGAAGGTTCATTTAAATGCCAGTTAGTATAGCTCAGCTGTGTACAGAGCTATTCCAGGAACTGGAATTTCCTTGGAGTTAGAGATTCCTGTATCCCCAGGTAGGTGTAGGTATTAAAACTTCTCACAAAGTACAGAATGGCATCATTCTTGCCAAGGTTCCTTGGAATGGCAATAGACCCTCCAGCCTCTTCACATTTTTTCAGTGTATTATGGAAATAAGATTTTTTTTTTTTCCCCATTGGCAGCAAATATTTTTCCTCCAGATGCTGTTATCTTTTGCAAGATGAGCTGAAAGCTATCAATCTTTTATGCATTGTTTTCTGGTTGCTTTGCTGCCAATTGTAATTCCTGCTATTTTCCTCCATAACTCTAGATTAAACCCAGGAAAAGGTAAAGGAGAGGAAAACTTGAAATCAAAGATAAAAAATAAGACAATCCCCAAAAGTCAGAAGAAATCTGAAAAGACGAGGGGAGGGGAAAAAGAGAAGAAACACATAAATAGCGACAATGAAATAGGAGAAGCACAAAAGAGGCTGGAGAAGGAGGGAAGGACATGAGGAATTTTACATTTGGAAAAAGTATATTTTCTTTGAGACTCTGTAAGCTCTCTGAGATGGTTTGCAGTATACAAGGGTGTACGTCAGTCCTTGAGTGAGTAGGATCTTAGATGTGACCTGGTTGTGACTGTTTTGGTATATTTTTAGTGTTCAGTTTATTTGTCTGTTAGGAGCATGAGATGCCCGTGGAGCGCTTCTGCATAGGCAGGGATTTTAATCTGATAAATTTCTGACTTGCTTGCACCCGTACTTCAGAGCTGTTACCTAGCTGTCTCCCACTAGTTATGGAAAAACTAATCCCTCCCTCCCCTCATTTGAGAGTTCTCACTCTCCTATCTAGCAGTGAACAAAATATAAATGGAATGCAATAAACCAGCAGAAAATCCTGCCTTTTTCCTAAGAAGCCATTTTTTTATGCCAGCTAATCCAGCTACAGCAGAAAATAAGGGCAGATAAATTACCTCCTTCAAGTCTGGAAATCCGATGTTCTAGCTGATGGATAATGTCTTCCATTTCGTTATCAACCAGTGGTCTGAAACCTATGAACAAAACCAGCTATTACACACTTTGCATTACAGCTTGAATCTTACCTTTCAAGATAAAAGCAGAGATTATAATGTGAAATGAATATGAACTTTTAAAATGTTTTTGACCTGTTTTAGTTTACTGCCGTGTTTTAAGTAGGGGATCTTTTCACACATCGATCTTTGTAAGGATAGGGAATACATTCCTAGAAACTACCTGCAGAGCAGTGATGTTTATGGAAAACTTGGATTAGCAAACTGAGTTAGTCTTCACTCTAAGTAATTGAGCCAGTCCAGGGAAAACACTGGCACTTGTACAGTAGGCTTAGTTGATTTTTAACTGTGTCTAGGGATTGTTGACAGAATCCTTCAGGCTGTTCAAGCACTTACTTGCAGCTCTAACCTAACACCTAGCAACAAGTCTCTTGGGCCAAAATGATATCCTTTTCTCTGAATTGAACCATTGCGTCATTAAGTAGGAGAGATTTAAGCATCTTTCTTCATACAAGGAATTAAGAAAGATCTGTTTATTTTCTATCAAGTACAACCCACATCAGATTATACAAGATAGCACTGAGTTTACAAAGCATAAAAATAGAACACAACAGTACATCTAGATAAAAATGGACATGGTAACTGCATGTACCTGGTATAAATCCTTCATCTATGCCATCTACAGTCAGGTGTCTGAAACTAGGCAATGGAGGATTTCCTGCAGGTTTACCTTGGGCACAGCATGACAGCACAAAAAGAGCTACTCCTAGGATTTTGTGGAACAACTGTGGAGACAGCAGTATTTAAAGCTAAATGTTAACCAGACTGTTTTACTTTCCAGTATAGTGTCCTGCATTAAAAAAAATGCAGTGTTTCAGAATTCACTGTCTGGATTCGAAATTTTGTATACCTTAAGCTTTGCCCTCACTGACATGAATGTCACTGTGATGTAGTTGCAAAGTTACATTATTTCAAACAAGTAAAATATTTTTCCAAAAGACTCAGTCTGCTAGTCTACAAGAGTCTACAGAGAAAAAAAAACACAAACCCCAAACATTCCCTTCAAAGCTCTTTTTTGTACAGCAGATACCATTATATGCCATTTTTCCCATGCAAAAAGCTATAGTGTCAGACTTAACTTTACAGGAGAGTGATAGACACATGTGCTTTAAGAGAAGGCCGTATTAAGATAAACTGGGACTTACTGTCTTTATCAATTGGTTTGAGCAAAACAATTGTTAATGCTTATTCTTCCATTATGGCATCCATCTTTTAAAGTATCTCCACCTGAGGTGATATCCTCTGAAAAGCAAGTGAAAGTTTTAATCAAAATGTTGAGAAACAAAATTTTAAAAATCTATAATGGAAAGGTTTGTGATACAGTGTAATAGGATGCAACATAATTTAAATAGAAACCTGTTTAAAGATGTTCAACTTACCTAGCAGCTCCAATACAAAATAAGAAAGACGCATTAAATGGTCTAATTTATAGGGCATGTAACTTGAGATTCATCTTGTTACCTACAGGAAATACAAAGAGCATGTAATATGATAAGAATTTGCATATGAATAGAAATTTAATGAACTTTAACTTGGATGATGAGGGTTTGTTTTCTTCAAGAGGTAAGCACACTTAAAATGTGAGGAAAATATTTGAGGGTACTTTCTTGATTTGTAGAAACACTTTCACATGTTTAAAAAAACCCAACCCTGGAGCAGAAGAAAGCAATTTCTCAATACATATTTGAAATACCTAATGTTTCGTCAGAACAGCTGTGTAAAGGTTAAATTGTAAATGTCACTGAAGATAAGACAAAAAAGTTCACCTGAAATATAATATGCACCAGGAACACCACCATCATTTTTATTAGTCTGAGGACTTATCAGTGGCGATTACTGAAGTGTTGTAACTAAACAGAATCTCATTATAGCAGCAGCGAAGCCAAAAGACAATGGTATATCTGCAGCACGTGTAGAGGTAACAGCCACAGAAGCATAAACCTAAATAACACTACAGAATACTCCAAGGGAAGTTTATCTATTATAAATAATAACATTTTTATCCAACAGAACAATGACCTTTCAGTGAAGGGAAAAGCTGCTCTAAACCAGTCCTGTAAGTTCAGAGGCCTCAAGATGCAGAGCATTGCTGAAATGAAATGAACTACCATGCATTTTTAAATTATTCTCAACTAAGAGTTGTTTCTATCTAATGGAGACTTTTAGGAAAGGAGTTTGAGGCTGTGCTCCAGTTCAAACAAGTAAGATATGGTCACATCATCCTTGTGGTGTCAGGCCAGTATCCTGATGTTGCAGCAAGGCTAACGGCAGAGTCAGATGAGGAATAGGTGCTTTGAGATTAGACAGGGAATGTGAGCAATATCTGTGTTAGTCTAAGATGCTACTGGATCTAAGCAAGCCGAGATCACCTCGACAAGCACCCTGCACTTTCGTCAGTTACCTCAACAACTAACTGATGTAGGGTACTGTGTCATTGGTGGTATGCCCACAGAAGCCTGAATAATTCCTGCAGCATTGTTTGAGTGCCCTGGAAAAGGCACCAGTCCTGTGAAAAATAAATTAACAGTACCCAGCTGTATGTACCTTGACAGAAGAGGGCCATTTTAAATTTGCATGAGTAACCTTTGTTTAAAGTTACTTGCTAAATTTCAAGTTTCTTAGTGTTTGACTTAATGCTTTTAACATTCTTTTGGCTGAGGTTTTCTAATTGTTTTATAAAAAAAAAAAACACACAAATGAAAAACCAGCAGAGAACATGAAACAAGCCACTATCTGGGGTCCAGATGAGCCCTAGAAAAGTTCACTGGCAGAACCTGGGCTTTTGCATCAGTGATGAGAAGAATTTTAGCACTTTAACTGCATCTGAAAGAAACTGCAGGTTAGGCAAGTGTGAGAAAAGATGAGGCTTGGCCTCCATTACTGGGTTTTGTACGTTGGCTGATGGCCTGGGAAACCTGGAGGGGCATGGAAGTTTTCTTGTGTGATAGACCGTGAGAAGAACTGATGTAGATTCGATAAATTCTAAACTTTTCTTCCCTTGATTTTCATCAGCATACTGATAAGATGGAACAAGCTAAAATAGGTAAATAAAAATACTTGCATTTCTATTATACTTGTTTGTTTGTCTAATAGAACATTCTATATAATACAACTTTTAAACTATTTTCTGATCTTGCTTTGAGCCGTGTATCACAGAAGCTCAGCAAGATTCAAGGACAGAGATCTGATAAAGAACAAAGAATTTTTGAGTATCGAGGCAACTTTTCTTCTGTGTTTCCACATCCATCATTAAGAGGCTTTATAATTTCAGTGCCAGTGAATCAAATCAAGGATATTCTGAGAGTAGGTTATTGCACAATGTAGGTAGGTAAATGCAAAACATGCTAAGGACAAATGTTGGTCAACACTGCTTTCTTAGCTGCTTCAAGAAATATAGACACTAGAGTTGAATTTCAGTTTATGAAAGTGGGTGTGTGTTCCTGTTAACCTTTCCTTTGTATACCTAACCTCTTGAAAGTTGTTTTTTTTTTTTCCTGCATAGTGCTAGTCACACCTCAGACAACCTTGCAAACTCTTTTCTTATTCTCCCAGTTTATGTTTAAATGGCCAAACCCCCACTTATATTTTTTCTTTACATTGATTTTGTGCTGTTCTGCTGTTGTTTCCATCCTACCTTGCTACCACCTTGTTCTGTGCTTTCTGCATTTCCTTTTCTCTTCCAAATCATTGTCAGACTGTCCCCAGCAGCTCCCTTACAACCGGGAATATCAGGAAGAGCACAGACCACGTGGGACCTAGTGTCTGCTCAGAAGAGGGTTGAGGCTATTTTTGCTGAGCTTTAAAAACAGGAAGGAAATAATTCAGCAAGATATGGCCACCTGGGATGGTGAAATTTAACACGGCCTTTTTTTATGAGCAGCATTTTAGAGCAGAAAGTCTTAATTTTACCTGTAGACAGTGTGATCAGTGCTTGTAAACACTACTACCATCTTGCTCCACTGACTTAAGTGATGTGTGAAGGATCCAAGTGGAGGTCACTAAGTATCTCTCTCACTTAGTACAGCTCAGCTGAAAAATACGGAAAGAAATAGTTTTGTGTTTATAACAAATAGAAAGCAAGACAATATCTCATCTCTTTAGTAGGTGTTAATAGCAAAACAGCATTCTAATGGGAGAGAGGAAAAAACCCCTTATGTTTATGAACCAGATGAGACCATTATTTCATATATTCTGCAGTTGCCCTCCATTATCTGCAGAAGAAGGTTAAATTGTTCACTACAGCCTTTACTTACCATAATTACTATTGCTGCAGCCTCCTCGAGGGTTAAGGTACCCTTGCTGTACAGTTCCTTTTGGCTCCTGAGCCACAAGGGCAGACATGGGTGAAAGTTTCATTCCAGGTTTCACCTGGCATCACACCGGGCTTATCACCCTTGAGCCAAATTCTGCCAAACCCTGGTTTCCTAACAGGAGCTTCAGATCAAATCCAAGTTCCCTTATTTTTAAAGGTGCTATTCTAATTTCCAAGCATCCTGTATGGATTGTGCTTTAAACTCAAGTATGGTTGTATAACTGTAGGTTATTATGATTTTATAACAGTACATTTCAACCTCTGATGATGAAAATCACTTGCAATCTGACACTCTGAGGTCCAGACAAATATTTGTGTTATACCATTACACAATACTCGCAAGAACATTGTTTTCCTCTGGTTCATAAGAATTGTAATAGGGCCATTAGTCTTTCTACCACTTCTCAGTGTGGTTTCAAAACCAGCTAACAAATTTCCTGGTGGCAAATATTTCTTCTCCTATTTGCACTTATTGTTCTGAAGAAAAGCTGCAAATAAATGTAAAACATATGATTGAACTTTACCCTAATTTGTATTTGCAGCACTGCTAGGATGTTGCAGCAGTAAGTACTGGTATTTTTCCACCATATATGTTCTTTTCTCTGGAAAAGAACAGAGGAGTAATGTAATTATTCTTCTTTAAATTTGACTTCAACATTATAAAAAAAAAAGGCATTGGTCACAACTTATACAAGATAAGGTAGCCTTGTCAGCCTATGTCATATCCTGCCAGTTACTGTGTCCACATAACATTGAATTTGAACTCAGTTTTTCCCAAGAACCATGAGGCTTCAGGTTTTTTTAATCCAATTTCTATGAAAATCAGGAAGCCTCAGAAAAATACTTATGTGCTGTAATTGAAGGTCAATTTATTTACATGTGGTAGGGATTGACAGGGTGGGGGTGAGATTTTTTTTAAAGTGCTCAAAATTGCTAATAGTATTTCTAAGCTAAAAGACCTAATTAAATTATACATTATAAAAAAGGATGTCACTCTAGACCAGAGAGAATTCTCTCTGAAATCAATATCCATCATTTTTATGGCCAGACAAATCTCTGTGTTAAATATACTGTAACAACAATTGTATTAAAATTCTCTTATGTGATATGCAATCCATTATTTGCTTCGGATGAGACTGAACTTTTGTGATGTTTTAACTTGTACTAAGATCTTAATTCTCAAAATTTGCTTTTATAGCATTTAAGAAGCGAATAAGTTTTTTTTCTGAATTAAAGATCTTACTGTTAAATTACTTTTCTGTAGCAAATGATAATAAATTAAGAAAAAAAGACTAACCTGGATTTTTCCTGGTCTGGTCATTATGCACCAGGGATTATTTTTGTTCATTGCATTTTTAAGGAAAGATTTTATCAAAATTATTTACCCTACAATAACAGAACAGAGAAATTATTTATTCTGTTTCTTCTTGTGCCTGACCTCTTTGTCCGTTTTAAAAAAATTTCCATTAATATGTAAGCACGTCTTTTACAAAAAATAGACTGAAATGCTTGTAAGTTTTAAATGGCATTTGAGGGTTTAAATTGGTAGGGTTATACACACACAAAAAAGCCATCTAAAAGAACAGAATCAGGATTTCTGGATACTTTTCTGTTCCTATGTGGAACTGCAAAGAATAATCAAGTAACATTCTACTGATTATGTACCTTCACCAGGATTTTAATTACCACATAGGAATCCCAGGAGAAACAAATGCATTCCAAGCCTGATTGTAGAATATTGCTTTCATTAGGGAATTTTATTTCTTCCACATATGATGGTTGACACTGGATATCTTTTTTCCCATCTGAAGTTCATCAAAGTCCATGCAAAAGAATGTGGACACACTTTTTTATAAAAAGGGCAGGACACTATCAGAGGTCCCCTTGGTATCTTCAGTTTTATATATGAAGCATAGTCAAGACTTTGGACACAGAACACGGAGGGCTGCTTCAGAGTGGTATAAGGGGAAGGCCAGAGCATAACAAGGGAAGAGTTGTGTAGGATGTTATATAGAGATGTTTTATGAAAATAACTGAGGAGTTTTGTTCAATTACCTGAAATGTTACAGATTTCAAGCTGAACCATAGAGGGGAAAGTGCTGCCTAGCAGTTCTTTGACTGGATCTGAGGCGTTTTTAAGCAGCACGTGTGTGTTTGATTTGGTTTTTTTCTAATAGTAATGGCTTAAGAAGAAAGAAATTGGACTCTGAGACCTAGCCTAGATGCTTTGCTTATTGATGTAATAAAAATCACTTTTTGACTGAAAAAATAATCTTATTTTTCTTAACTGGATAAAAAGTACCCAAATGTCTCGAAGTCTAAATCTGTTTAGAGGTAGGTGATATATTGTGTCAAGCCATTTGTAAGACTTTACACATTAAGGATTTTAACAAGATATTTGTATAGTCATTTTGTAAACACATTTCCACATGTGGTGGAAATGGCATTGTTGATTAACTAAAGGAATAAGATACTCCAAACCTAGTTGGAGAGCTATGTAAATGAATAGGTGAATTTGGTTCAGATAAATAAAAGAGCATGTTAGTGGACTGATGGGGTTTTTTTTGTGTGTCTTACTCCAACATGATGCTGCCTTATGCCAGGTAATTATCTTGCTCTGACAAAGAATCTGTACAGTTGAAAGACTCAAAAATTGCTAACAAGTTTTACTCATTAAAATACTAGTAATTAAAACACAAGAGGTGGAGGTAGTCTTAAGTAAACCTTCAAGTCTTTCTGGCAGATTTAGTGCAGCTAACCAGAGCTAAGCCTAGGAAAATTAAAAGGTATTAGTTTAGCCTTACCTTTTCTCAAAGTAACCTGAGAGAATTTTTCTCATGGCATGATCTATTCCCTTCCATTTGAAATTTTTGTCCAAAATGGTATCACGGTCATAGGTCTCAAAGGAAGCTATTTTGTAAAGCAGGTTCACACTTTGAAATCTATCCAACATGGTACTGGGTGTACTTTTCCCCTTTCAAAGTCCCTGTCCACTCTCAGATCATCTGGAGTACTGTACGCAATGCTGGACACGAATCCTCTGCTGCCAAAAGTATCTTCTTCTCTCCTGCATCTGAAGACACTAAAGCTTTCCTATTTGACAGGGCTTGAAATGGCCATGTGAATAGATCCCATCTCTTCCTCAATGCAGGCTAGGGACAAGGGACAAGACCACCCAGAGTCAAGGCCAGGTTCCTATGGGCTCCTTACACAGACTCAAATGTGGGGGAGGAGAAGAAGTAAAAGTGTTTATGCATATATTTTACCTCTAGTGCTTCCTTTTTTTCCCCTCTCAGGTAGTGTGAAAATGATAACGGATGAGCCCAGGACTTCCCCACTGCAAGGTAAGTGTGTGAGAATTTGCTATTCGTGGTACTTTACTGAGCTCCCACTACTCACCAGCTACCCAAACTGAGTAGTGGCGAAAATATTTTGTGAAACAACGCTGCTTGGTCCTAGCGGATTTGAGTCACAGTCTGACTATGTGGTTCCTTGGCACGACATCAGCAGAGAAATAATTTGTGTTTGAACTGAATGAACTTCTAATCTTAGCTGCTCCCCCAAAATATTATGTGGTTGTTCAGTGGTTTCAGAAAAGACAAGGGGCCTTCTAACACTGCAGTGGTCAGTGAGGGGCCACTTACGAGGGAATGTGGTGTTTAGCAACAAAATGCAATCTTTAGTATTTTATACACATATTTCTATGTCTACATGGATCTAATGCAATGTTTATCTTAGTGTTTTATAGAGAGTAGCTTCTGAAACTGAGAGAATTAATTGTAACTGGTATTGTTAATATTTTTATAAAACAAGTTAAATATGGATGCTAAATGAATCAGTGCATGCTTCAATATGACACAATACAAGCCCTATAATTGAGACATACAAAACCTGAGACCATAATTGCTCCAGTGAAGTCAATCTGTGTGCATCTCCTTTAAGGCAGAAACTATTAAGTACTTGGAAATGCTTCCACTGTGAAGCCACAGGCAATTTTATCTTCAAACTTTTTCAATATCCCAAGTCAAACCTTGGAATTTTCTTCTAATCTTCACAAAGGCACAGTGCACAGAGACAGTCTGCCATGAAAAATGAATTCTGAGCTATTCCCAACCCTCCAAAAAGAGATGAACACATCAGATCAGGCACATTTTAATCAAGTTAATCACCTACCACATTTGGCATTTTCTTAAGGATAAAAAATATCATAATATGATTAGTTTTAGATTTTCTGACATAGAATAATTGCAGAAGTTGCATAAACCTGAGTCACAGGATATTTCGTTGTCTCCACACTGAGGTGGCTGAAAGGCCATTCTTTAAAATTCGCAGATTGTGAGGCGATATAGGTTGCATTTTCTGTCAATCCATCTCCCATCAGTGTACATATCTACACATTTTTCTTTCCCTTTGCCATTAGGCTCGTATTGGTACCAATTGGTATAATTCAGAGGCATGCCATTTATATACTTAAATTTACCCGGAGTCTCACCCTCTTTAATGCCCAAGTAAGCATATCGGTTATACTGTTTCACAAAACTCAAAATAGCGTTATTCTCCTCCTCATTCATGGGAGTTGCAAGAGTTCCTCCAGCACTTTCACAGGATTTTAATGCAGCTTCAAAATTAACTTCCTTCCCATTGCTGGCAAGTATTTTCTCTCCTACTTCTCTTATTTTACCAGTCAAAGCAAGCACTAAAACATGAAAAGAAAAAAATCTAGTTAGCATTTTAAATTTCTAATGGCATATTGATGGGAAAGCAAAGAAAGAGAAATCAAGAGATGAGGAGAAAATTAAAAGTGATAAGAGGAACAGTGGGGGGAATAGAGAGATTCAAAATTTTACCAATTCACTAGTTGTTCACTAAGTACATTGTTATGCTGCTTGTGACCATCTCTCCTTGTCTTCTCCAAGACAAGGATGCCCCACATGCTATCAGCTCTATTATATTGTGTGTACTCTCTAAAGAGGATTAATTTGCTTCAAATTTGAGAAAGTGAAACAAATGATAATTTTTGTGAATTCCTTCTCAGTACGAAACAATTTGCTACCTCTAACAATATGGTTACTGATAGATAAAAATGCTAGCAATGTGGTACAAGGCTGAGGAGTTCCCATGAATCCATGTGGAAAGTACATCAGTTGGAATAGCTTTTTTTTTTAATAAAAAAAAAAGTGCATTAGTATTCCTGAGAGAAATCTGCTTCTCCAGGGAAAATGAGTCCTGATCTCCCCTGCTTTGGATGAGAAAATGGAGTTTTCAAGTAGTAGTACGTACCACTTTCAAGTATTATTTCTTTCCTGCAAGTCATGATTCTATAATCAATTTTGCCTATTGCACTTAAAACTGATTGTGAGCTGAAAAAGTAAGAATGGGAAAAATTACCAGCTTCAAGTCGGGAAAGTCGATGTTTCAAATTTATTAAAACATTGTGAAGTTCAGTGTCCAAATAATAAGGTAGACCTACACAGATAAAAATAAAAGTTATACAATCAAGCAAAACTAGGCTCTGCTGATAGGAACAATTCCTTGGATAAAACTAATCATTTTCCAAGCTAACTAGCACACAATGTATTTTTTCTAACATCATCTTGTGTAAAATAAATATTTTCCTGGGTTTTCACACGGTTGTTAACCTATATCAAAGCAAACAAACGAATTCTAACCCTCTGAAATGCTGATAATTCTCCTCTGCACAGAAGAAAATTAATTTTTCCACATTGAAGCCTTACATTTGCCATGTCTGTGAAAGTGGTTTTGCCAAAGAGAATTTGTTTCATTCTAATAAGTGTTGTTAGTAAATAAACAGGTACAAGGGAGATTTTTTGGGAGGAAACAGTTCCTATGACACCATACCGTTTTATTTTTAATCTTCTGGGTGGATACTTTGTGTTTTTACAGTGGGATCTTATTTTAATGGAAACCATAAACACTGGTATAGGAGGGTTTCTGCATAGGTTGTGTGAAATACATTCCATTCAGCACTGCTTGCTAAAGGTGGGAACTCACTGTAAAGGCAGATACTTTTTTCATACAAATTTCCATGGGTAACAAAGGTCCTACATGTAGAATAAAGTCACTAGTGTGCTCCCAAGATCATGGTCCCATTATTCACAGCTAAAACAAATGGCAATGTAGAAGCACAACATATTGCTGCATCTCCCTCTCTTTGAGTTGCAATGTTGCAACTCTTACTGCACTTCACAGTCAGTAAAAAGGCAATGTATTTGACCCAATAAAGAGAATCCATTTGACTGACAAAACATTACATAGACATCACCCTTTTTCTCCTTTCTCACCTCGTGGCCAAGGAAGACAGTTTCTTCCAGGACGCCCCATCAGGCTTCCAGAGGATCCTATGCCAGCTGGAAAAAAGAAGCATAATTTTCTTTCCAATTGATGCATATTCTGGGAACTTCAGGATGAAACAGAACTTAATCTTAAAGTGAAATGTGTTACATCTATGAATAATTTTGATTGATAGTGCTTTAGCCTTGGTAATGGATCTGGAGAATGCATTTCTACATAGAAAGAAAATTACACAGTGCAAAGTGTGTTCCTTACCAGACTACTTTTGCACACACCATCTTTGAATACTAGAAAAACATGCCAGAAGCCTTTTAATTACACTTGTAAATACTGGAATAACATTTTCTTCATACTTAAAAAGAAAAAGCTTCTGCTGTGAAAGAAGCAATTATCTTCGGAAAGTCATAGAAAAACACTACAAAGAGATATATATAAAAAATATGTGTATTATTACATTTAAGTATTGATAACCTGTTTGTTTCCCCTCTTCTCCCAGAAGAGAGAGAAGGCCTATCTTTTAGGAAAAAAATAAAAATAAAGTTAAACTGACCATTTCTTCCATTCAGTTTCCCCACCTCTGTTTAACGCAGCTGCTTCCTCAAGGGCATGTGTCCTTCTGTGCTAACAGTTTTTATTCATGCAGCCTTCATGACAAGGCTTTGTTCCAAAAAAGGGAAGTTTACATACCTGATGATAGATGTGGCTGTCCTTTCAGACCATCTCTTCCAGACAGTTCAGGGATACCAAGTAGCCCAGGAATTTCTGGACATTTACACTGTGCATGGCAAGTCACCAGCAAAGCAGCTACTGCTGTGAGCACGTAGGACAAGTAAAACAGCATGATTGCTCAGGCCAGCTGTAAGAAAACCCACATATTTGTCAGGCAATCATTCTGTAAGAAATTGCAGACATTGGCTTGAACACTTTTTTTGCTCTTTCTCCCCCCCTTCATCCCTTCTTGAAATTTACATTCCTTCCTTGTTTAAATAAAGTCTATAGTTTAGGTATAAGACAAGACATTTCCCAGATTTGTTTTGCTACCATTGCATAGCTTATACACAAAACTGTTTCTAGACTGATACAGATTGGTACGCTCATTACAGAATGACAGCTACACATTTGGAAGTAGCAAAGACAAATTGTTCTTTTTGCTATCACTGGCTATTTGTTGAATAAATCCTTGAGAAATGATGGGCTCAGATGTAACTGATTACGCTTAAGCCATTAGTTGTCTGTAAAGGGCTATAATCACTCAATGAAACATGGATGCCTACACTACTAACCTGAAAGGCACAATCTGATACAGTGGTGGTTGTGATGGTTTGGAGCGAGTTAGCAATCTCTTTAAGCACAGTACTATTTAAGCACATTTATTTGAAATAAGCAGACTGATAGAGTGTTTTACACATGGGCAAAATTTTATAGCTCAATTGACATTCCTCCTTCGTTCTGAACAAAATTCCACAAGCTTGAAAATGTCAGAGTTAGTCTTGTCGAAAATACTTTTTTTGCTGGCTCGCAATAGGCCTGTTCATCTTATTTTATGCTTTCAGATATAACATTAAGTAGGGTTATAATTTCAGTGCTGAGATATCATGACTAAAAAGTACTCTGAAACTATAGATTATGGGTTTACAATGCAGCTAGTGGGTATGCAGCATTGGTAATGCTGTGCGGTTATAAAGCCTGAACTGATGGACTATAAGACACTACGGCATGGAGATATCCAGTTATTGGCATCGTTCAGCTAAAATAATGAGAGAGATAAAGAAAGGTTCAAGATGCCAGAATAAGTATCCTTTTCTAATGAGATGACCCTGATCGGTTGACTCTCAAGCAAAACATGTAACTTAACTTAATACCCATGACTCCACTTTTCTTTTGGCATGAATTAGAGAGGATCATGTACTGCCCTCTTGTAAAAACTTCCATTCTTAAAAAAATTCAGAATTGACAAGATCCTTTTAATTGACACATAACATGTTCTAAATCCAGCTCCACTTAAAGTTGAGAATAAAATCTTGGTTGGCTTGAATGCTGCAAGATTATTAACACCTGAGTTCATCAGTTAAAACAAGGTATTTGTTTCAAAGCATACATGCCAAGCAGAATCAGTTTATTATTATTGCCATTTATTAAATGGATACACTAAAACTAGACTGAGTTTTAAAAAGAAAAAGTATTCTTCGCATCTTCCATACTGACTGTGGTAGAAGTCTTTTGACACTATTCTAACTGCATCAATACCAACTATTTTTAAGGATAAAGTTTATCTAGAGGAATGTCTCATCAAAATCAATTCAGTGGGACATACCCTTGAACATAAGAATATTCAATTATGTCATAAATTTCAGTGTTTTGCTGCATATAGAATCTGTTTAAATGATAGCAGTGTCTATTCCTCATGGTCAAGAATTTCCACTTTAATGAGTGGAAATTTCAAATCCACCTGAGAACACACCTGCTCTATTAAAAGTGCTGTCGATTTTCATGTGTTGAATCTGAAGTGCCTCAAGTTGTTCACCCTTTACTATATTAAGGCTAGCAGACACCTCTGACAATGCTGGCCAGTGACTCAGAGAGCACATTATTAAAGTCCCTAACAGAACCCTACCTTAGGTTGCCAGGAATACTTATGTCCCTGAGATAAGGAAATGCAATTACAACAGGTACTCTTCATCTGGTGCTGATCATTCAGGGAATTACGTTTGAATGGACGACTACATCCAGCTCATAATTGGATTATGATGCAGAGTCAGAGTCCTGATCAGTTATATAGCAAAATGGCAAAAACAGCTCTTTGGTTTTAATCCAGTTTTAATGATCTTCATCAATCATTACAATCTAGTGTCCTTCAGGCATCTCTTTATCTACTAAAATTGCTAATATAAGCAAAGTAAAAAAATACTAATAAATGAAAATTTAATTTTAAAATGTAAATATGACCATGGAAATGAAAAGGAACAGGTTTGCCTCCTAGCTGAAGTTCCTTGTGATTTATTAAAAGGAAATTCAACTTACCCTTCTGCTTCAAAGTGAAATGAAAAAGCAGTTTTCACAAGTCCCCTTTATATAGTGTCATGTTTGTTAAATGATACTGTTGAAGTGGAGACTGGATAATGAGGGCATGAATGAGCCTTTTTAGTTTTGCTTACACACTTGTTATACAAACACTGAGAACTATTTGAGAACAATTTAAAGGGTTGAGAAATTTATTTTTCTTTTATAAGAATAGAAAGCCAAAGTTGGAGAAAACACAATCTAGAACTAACAAATAACTCCAGATTTGTAGACACATACAAAATGTATAAAAATTTAAAGAAACTTTTGGTGAATCTAAGTGATATTGTAAATTTTTTTTCTGGTTTTAAAAAAGCAAGAATAACATATGACCACCAGTGGCTTTTGTAGAAGGAAAGGTGCTCTTATTAATTAGGGAAGCACGTTACCTTCCAGATGGAGTCTGACCTGATAATCAGAATTCTAAACTTTGCTTCCCTTCTCTGTATCTGATGTACTTACCTTAATATCATTTTCTGGCTCAATGTTTCTGTAAGCATCTGGTCTGTTTTGCATGTAGAGTACAGCTGATCCTCACTAGGTCAGAGATGGATCCTAGAAAAATCTGCATACATGCACAGAATCCTCAAATGGACAGCATTTTCATGTAAAAAAGAGGCTTTGGTCATCTGGTTTCCCAGCAGTAAAGATTGAGATCTCATGAGTACCTTGCTTCTGGTTCTGATGCCTTCTACTGTAAGGACATTTATGCTTGAGCCTAGCTGAGGTTTGTTCTATGAATCTTAGCAAGCCAACACATCAGTCCCTCACCTCTAAGACAGAAATACCTCTGCTTCACAGCTTTTCTCTGTTTTGCCAATTTACACTCTGGTCTTTTAAGGGTAGAATGGTTTCTACTTTTCATTTGCATTTTACTAAAACTACTTAAGTCTTGTCATGATCCCTAACTATAGTGTCTTTCTACCACAGCATGGTCTGTTCTCCCTCTCAAAAAAAACAAAACCCAAAGCATACTGAGGAGATATCAGTGTCCTTTTTAGCAAATGATCAATTAACACTCACAAATATGTGTTACAAATCTATTTCCAAGTCCTTCCTCCACCTGATACGCAGCAAAGCTTTGAAGGCAGGTTAGTCATTTTACAAAACATCTAACCCCACCAGTTGAAGCTATTTCCTTCTGTAGTCCAAATGAGGTAGATGAAAAGAAGTGATGTTAAGTGTATAAGACGCGGATTAGATAGTGCCCAGTAGGTAAAATACCTTGTTTCTGAATCCTTCTGCTGCTTGAGAATAGCACAGATATCAGGCAATTCAGCACAATCAAGACAAGGGTAATTCTCTTTCTGAATGGCAGCAGACCTCTGGGGTACCGAAAGCTCAAAGACATTTCTGTAGTTGCAATATAAGATGGAACTTAATGGATCCAGATTTTGGGAAGTAATATTTTAAATTATTAGGTGCCCAAGTTCTTGGGAATCTAACTTACCAGAATACAAGCTCATATAGATCCAGTTTCTGGGCAACTCTGCAACAGTTGGAATGGTTAATATTGTTCTGTGGTATCACTGCCCATATACATCCTCCCCATGCATATACATGCAACTTTAATACATGAACAACATGATAAATCTTTCCAGATTTTCACTATTTCTTCCACAGTTTATACCTAAAATAAAAAAAAAAAAAAAA